GCCTCCAGCCCCTGCCTCAATGGGGGTTCCTGCTCCAGCACCCAGGACCCTGCCTCCTACCACTGCAGCTGCCCCAGGGCCTTCACAGGCAAGGACTGCAGCACAGGTGAGCGGGGCCCCGGGGCCCACGGGCTGGAGCAAGCCTCGGGAGGAGGGAGAGCAGGTGCCTGCCCTCGGGCGTGGGAGGCTGGGCGGACAGCGAGAGGAGCCGCCTGTGCCATCCCCAGAGAGATGCTTCGACGAGACCCGCTACGAGTACCTGGAGGAGGGTGACCGCTGGGCCCGCGTGCACCAGGGCCACGTGGAACAGTGTGACTGTGCGGGGGGCCGGGCCCGGTGTGAAGGCACCCGCCACACAGGTGTGCCACGGTCAGGGCAGGGGAGGCCAGGGCACCATGGGGGGCGTGCCGTGTCACCGAGCCCCCCGGTGGGCATCCCCATCTTCACCTGAGCGGAAGGGACCAGCCACGGGGGTACCAGGGATGGAGCCCACCCCCGATCCCTCCCTTGTGGGGCACCTCGAGGCCTGGCCTAGCTTCTCAGCCTTCCTCCAGCTTGCCTGAGCAGCCCGTGCCTGAACGGGGGCACCTGCCACCTGATCGTGGCCACAGGGACCACGGTATGCGCCTGTCCGCCAGGCTATGCCGGGCGGCTCTGCAACATTGGTGAGTGGGCCAGCCTGGGCGGCGGGGTGGACGCCGCTGCGGCCGGCCTCACTGCCTGTCTGCCCGCAGTTCCCAACGAGCGCTGCTTTGTGGGGAACGGCACCGAGTACCGTGGCTTGGCCAGCACCTCGGCCTCAGGCCTCGGCTGCCTGGCCTGGAACTCCGACCTGCTCTACCAGGAGCTGCACGTGGACTCGGTGGGCGCCGCGGCCCTGCTGGGCCTAGGCCCCCACGCCTACTGCCGGTCAGCACCCACAGCTGCTCCGGGCCGCCTGGGCAGGGCAGGCAGGGTCTGTCCTGGGGAGAGGCCGTGTCCCTCCTCAGCTCCCCAAGACCCAGCCAGGGCCAGACCCGTGGAAACAGGCCCCAACACTGCCCGGGAGGCTGCCCCCGGGAGGGCTGGGGTCTGCAGAAAGCAATGCCATCCGGCGTCAGAAGCAACCCCCTCCCGCAGGGTGTCCTGATGGGCCCAGTTCCCCACCCCTGTGTCCATTCTTAGAGACCGTCTGACCCCCTGACTGCCACTCCCTCGTGCGCTCCAGGAACCCGGACAAGGATGAGAGGCCCTGGTGCTACGTGGTGAAGGACAGCGCACTCTCCTGGGAGTACTGTCGCCTGGCGGCCTGCGGTGTGCAGCCGGGGGGAGGGGGGTGCCGCCCAGATTTTTCCCTGTCGCTCTCCAGCCATGCTCCCACTGCCCCACCTGAGAGATGGGTAAACTGAGGCTCATGGGATCAGGTTGGTCCAAGGTTGTGCAGTAAGTGGACACTAGGGTACAGAGCTGGTAAAACGGCCTGCTGCAGGGGCCGGTCACCAGGCAGTGGCCTCGGGGAGCTCCTGCAGCCTACTCCATGCCTGTCTCCCTGGACAGCTATGCCCGGACGGCCTCCAGAGATGGGGCAGTGGAGGGTGGACAACATGGCAGAAAGCCCAGGAAGGGAGTCAGACCCAGGTGGGGGTGGCAGCTCGGTGAGACGGCCCGCCCTCTGTCCCATGCCCGAGGCTCTCCTGCTGAGGTCTCTGGCCTTGCTAAGACTGGCTGTGGGGTCCCTGGTTGCATGGAGGGACACGCCCCCCTCCACGTGCTCCTGGCCACCCTGGCTCTCACAAAGCCTTGGGGTTGGGTATCGTTCTCCCATCCTACAGATAAGGGAACTGAGGCTCAGAGCGAGCCATGTGCCAGGGCAGAACTTCTAGGGCAGGGCAGGATGTAGGTGAACCCAGAGGAAGCCGGGTGTTGGGGCGTTGACGCCATGAACCCTGGAGTATAATTGGGTGACCTTTGCTCCCAGAATCCCGGGCCAGGACCCAGCCCCAACTCCCCATGGTCCTGGTGACCCTGCAGGAGCCAGCCCCCAGCCGCCCGTCCTGCGGCAGGAGGCACAAGAAGCGGAGCTTCCTGCGACCGCGCATTGTGGGTGGCTCCTCCTCGCTGCCCGGCTCCCACCCCTGGCTGGCCACCATCTACATCGGGAGCAGCTTCTGCGCCGGGAGCCTGGTCCACACGTGCTGGGTGGTGTCTGCGGCCCACTGCTTCTCCCGCAGGTGAGCCCACCAGGGCCTGAGCCCACTGGGCGGCCGGATGCCCGGCTGCCAGTGTTACTCACCCACGGAGGAGCAGGAAGTGGGCGGTTAGGCGGGGGGGACGCGGGAGATAGGGTGGGGGTGGTGGCAGAACCCCTCTCCAACAGGGAACCGGAGGGCACAGTGACCACATGTGGGTGACCACAGAGTCACTGCATAGCCAGGGAAACAGGCCCAGCCCCTTCAGTGGGTTCCCAGCAGCTGGTTCCCAGCAGTTCCCCACATTCCGTTCATACCTGGCTCAGGGACGCTAAGCCTGGCCAGCTGGGGTAGGAAAGCCCAGAGCAATCCTTCCTGCCCTTCACACTGTGATGGGGGAGGGGACAGTGCCCTGCTGGGTAGGGTTGTGGCCTGAATGGGCCTGACCGTGGCTCTCCCATGATCCGGGACAGGAGGGCTTGGGGGTCTGGCCGGCACGAGCGTCTGCCTGCCCTCTGTGCCCCGCCAGTTGCCCCGAGGACCACGGCATCCCTGATGGAGCTCCAGCCTGCACTGTCCTGTGGGACTGTGGCGGGCACCTCCCTGGGACTTCCAGCGAGTCCTCAAGTGGATGGAGACGAGGGCGACGGGGCTGGGGCAGGGACGGGGCAGAGTCTGGGGCAGGAGAGCTGAGGCAGGAGGAGAGTGACCATTTACACACAGCAGACGGAGACTGAGGCCCCGATAGGGTGAGCGGGACTGACCAAGGCGGGGCCCGACTTTGTGCCTAGCAAGAGTGAGGGGCTGCATCTGGGCCCCCCACAGGCCACACGGAGCTGGGGCCGGGGTCCCGAGACAGGGCCGGTCTTCACCCACTCGGGCCCAGTCTCAGAGCAGACCTTGCTGGACTCCTCAGGGTCACTGCGAGGGCTGGCATTCGAGTCTGGGCCCGAGATCTCAGGGTGGCTGTAGCTGGCTACTCACTGGTGACCCCATCTCCCGCTATTGCGACAGCCCACCCAGGGACCTTCTCAGACCTTTCCAGGACCCTCCCTGCAATGCTCAGCCACAGGCAGTGGGCGCCCGGGCCGGGGTAGGAAGAGGTGACTCTGAGCCAAGGGGAGGGTGGGTCCGTGCTGCCCCCAGCCCCCTTTCTCAGCCCCTCCAGGGAAAGTGTCTCAGTGGTGCTGGGCCAGCACTTCTTCAACCGCACGACAGACGTGACGCAGACATTCAGCATCGAGAAGTACGTCCCGTACACCCTGTACTCGGTGTTTAATCCCAGCGACCATGACCTTGGTGAGCTCGAGGGCACGTCGGGCGGCAGGGCTTGGATGGCGGCAGGGAGCTGGGCAGTCACGTGGGGGAAGAGGCTGGGGTCCGGGGCGGAGCGACCAAGGCGCCCTCCCTTCCCAGGCCTCCCAGGCCGTCTGTCCCCCTGCCTGGTGAGGCTGCCCTGGGGACCGTCGGCCACCCTCTCTCCAGCGTGGGCCCTGACGGCCTTCCCGCCCAGCCCCCACGCCCAGGCTGACCTCCGCCTTTCTCCCGCTCAGTCCTCATCCGGTTAAAGAAAAAAGGGGATCGCTGTGCCGTCCGCTCCCAGTTTGTCCAGCCCATCTGCCTGCCCGAGTCCAGCAGCACCTTCCCTGCCGGACACAAGTGCCAGATTGCGGGCTGGGGCCACACGGGTGAGAGTGAGTGGGCTGGGGCCCGTCCAGGCCATGCAGGGCGAGCAGCGGCCAATGTGCCGGTCCCTGAGATCCTTGTCCACCTCCCACAGACGTGAGTGGCTACTCCAGCTCCCTTCGGGAAGCACTGGTCCCCCTCGTCGCTGACCATAAGTGCAGCAGCCCTGAGGTGTATGGGGCCGACATCAGCCCCAACATGCTCTGTGCCGGCTACTTCGACTGCAAGTCCGATGCCTGCCAGGTGAGCCATGCCAGGCCCCACAGGTGGGGTCTCAGATGCATCCTGAGTCTCAGAACGGCTCGTCACAGGGAGTCCCAGAGCCAGACAGGACGCTGCCCCGGCAGGGCCAGCTGGGGCCCCCGGGCAGAGAGCACACCTACTGCATCTGTGCCCAGCACCCCAGGGTGGCACTCATTACCTCAGAAGGCGCCCAGCCCTCTGCCCAAAGGGGCTCCTTACAGCAGGGAGAGAAGCCAGGCCTCTTTGCCCAGAGTTCTCTCAGAGAGACTCATCAACCCGAATAACGACGTCCACCAAGGACTTTGCAGGCCTGACACATTTGGGCTGCAGTCAACCCTGAAATGGACAAAGCTGTTTTATGCCCCATTTTATAGGTAGGGAAACCGAGCCCCAGAGAAAGTCCCAGCACTCTTCCAAGGTGGAGGCTTTGTCACTGGAGCTCTCTGGTGGATTCAAGGATGACTTCATGGAGGAGGGGGTGTTTGCATTTCCTGAGGGATGCGTAGGAGTTTGCCAGGTGGTGGGGAAGACATTTTGGGGAGTAGGACTATCATGTGCTGGGACAAAGGTGGCCACAAAGGTGGCTGCATGCTGATGGGCGGGAGAGGGGGCTGTAGCCAGACTTCAGACAGTGGCACAGTCAGATGCCATGGCCCGGCCGGGGCCACCCCTGTAGCCTCCTGGGAATGAGACGACATTCTCCTCGAAAGTCACCTCAGCTCCCTTGCCCAGAAATACCTGTGTCGTCTGTCCCTCAAGTTGTCAGACAGTCCACCTAAGCATTCCGTGTTCTCCGAGTGCCTCTGAGATTCTTCCGAGCGTTTTACTCCTCTGGGTTCATTTGGGGGCAGGAGGCAATGGTGGAACTGTTTTGGGTGATGAGAAGCCCGGGCCACAGGGCGTCCCTGAACCAGGCCCCCGACTGTGGGGTGGCTCTGACGGGTGTCTCTGCCCAGGGGGACTCGGGCGGGCCGCTGGTCTGTGAGAAAAACGGCGTGGCCTACCTGTATGGAGTCATCAGCTGGGGCGACGGCTGTGGGCGGCTCAACAAGCCGGGGGTCTACACGCGGGTGGCCAACTATGTGGACTGGATCAATGACCGGATCCGGCCCCCCAGGCGACCTGAGGCTTCCTCTTGACTCTCTGGGGCCGTCCTGTCTTCTCGCCATGCCCTGCCTTGCGACAATAAAGATGTTTCCACAACTAGCCCTTGCTGCTTGTTGCCACCTCCAACCCAATCTTCCCTTCCAGGCCACGGCCGGGGCCCATGCACATGGGCGACATGGCCTCGAGTGGGGGTCCTGGAGCCCACATGGCCCTCAGCGGAGATGGGAACTTGTGGCCTTGGAAGGAGGTCCCGGCCCAAGGCCTTCTCCTAGTTCTTGTTTTGAGACTGCATTCGGAAACCTGACTTGTGTGGCTTAAGTATTTCTCATGTGACAAGAGGTCCAGCCACCAGCTCTTGCTGGCATCGATTTGCCAGATACATCGGCTCCTTTTATTGGGACAGCAAAAGCTTTCCCAGAACCCTCTTCCCAGTGAACTGGCATTTGGCTCTCATCTGCCCGGATGGGGTCACAGTGAATGGATTGTCACGACCAGCTCAAGTCAGCTGTGAGGCACCGGGGCTGGATGTTCACCACCCTGAGCAGAGCAGAGTTGAGCTCCGAGAAAAGAGGAGAGAGAGGTGGGTCCTGGGGAAGCACCCAGCAAGATGAGGCCAGGCCCTTTTTCTGTTGCCTCCGTTGCTGTGTGTGGGTCTCAGAGCCCTCAAGCTCACTCAACCTGCTGCTGAAGACTGTCCTGCACTGCCATGGTGTTGGTCACAGCCTAGGGCAGCAGCTGGGGGACAGAGGCTGGTGCCAGCATCCCAGAATCATGGAGGGTGGAGTGGCTCCTTCTCATGAGCATGGGGGCCTCCAGCAGCCCATCTGGGACTTGGTGAACTGTACAGCTTCAGCCCTACCATAGCCCACATCTGAAGTGAGCGCTCCCTGATACTTCTCCTCTCTGAGTGGCGAGTGTTTTCAAATGATTTATCTGTATCTATTGAGATAAGTGTGTGAATAATCTCTCCTTGGATCCATTAATGGTGATGACTTGAATTTATAGATTTTCTCACATCAAGCCAATCTTGCATTCCTGGTTTGGGCGGTGTGGGGTCAGAATGTGAGCCAGGTGTGTTACATTCACCCCTCCAGGTTTGTCCCACCTCTCTTCTTGGGCTCTGCCTTCTGGGGCTGATCTCCATGGATGCTTTGGTGGACTCCGTGTCCTTTGGTTTCTTGTGGGAACTTGAGGAGCCCAGCAGGAGTTCAGAGGGCAGGGAGAGAGTGAGATTGGGGTATTTCTATTCCTGGCTTCCTCTCTTTGGGGTCACCTCAGCATTATAGGCTGAACTGTGTCCTCCTGAAGTTCACACATTGACGTTCTAACCCCTAGTACCTCGTAATGTGACTGTATTGGAGACAAGGTCTTTACAAAGGTAATGAAGTTAAATTAGGTAATTATGGTGGCACTAGCCCAAAACAACTGGTGTTCTTATAAGAAGAGATTTGGACTGCCAACCTGAAGTCATTGCAAGAATCGGAATCTGGTTTAAAAGAATTTATTCAGGCACAAAGCTGAGAATAGCCATTCCGTTAACACCGACGCCAAAGCAGTGGGCTCAGTGCTCTAAGGCTGAAAAGTTAAAAAGTCTTGCTAATGCAGGCAGAAAACAAAGAAATATAGCAGGATTACGTCTCCCCAACAGGACTCATTTATGCGTTACAGAAATTTGATCAGTTACACCTTGTTTTCTTTTCCTTTTCCAATTTAAAAGAGTATATTTAGCACTCACCTTAGACAGTAGGATCATTGTGAGGTCTTTGGGTGAGGCAGGAAAGAGGGGAGTCCGTCCACCATGAAGATCTCAGTGAGAGGGAGGGGTCTTCCCTAGTGCCTGTTAGTCTTTTACAACGTTAGTAAGACAACGTAGGTAAAGAAAAGGCTCACCTGGGCCATTGCCTTGCTAGACTCTGGTGTGGCCATGTGCTCTTTGAGCCATGGCTGTCGCCAGGCTTCCTGGCTTTGGTCCCTCTCCCCCACCTTGGGGAGGTGAATCTTTCTTCCTTCTCTTTCTCTCTCTAATTTACTTTTAAATAAACTTTTCTTTTAAAAAAAAGAAAAAGAAAAGACTCACCTATAATTTGAGGAACAAAGGCTACAGCCGTGGGACTCAGGTCTCCTAACCCTATTCCTTTAAGGCTCAAAATAATGTAAAGTTCCACCAATTTTGGTTTGGAATGATTCATTTTTGCAGGACGCAGACACGCATAGCAGGGAGAACAGGGCCTTCAGCAAAGCAAGACTGGAGGCCTGGACCAGATTCCCTCACAGCCCTTGCAGGGAGCCACGTCTGTCAAAACCTGGGTTCCGGACTTCTGGTCTCTCTGGAATTGTGAGGTGCTATGTCTTTGTTGTTGAAGCCACCCAGTCTGTGGTCCTTTACTGCAGTGCGCCCAGCAGATGAGTACCCTCAGGTGGGCCACCTCCCATAACTGAAGGTCACTGCCTCTCTCAAGATGTAGATGACTTTCCCCCTCTGAGGTTCCAGGGACCAGCCACTTTCACCCCTGCCCTCAGGCCGGGCTGGTGTCTGCTCCTTTTCCATAACCAGGCCCTGGATATTGAGTGATTGCCTGTGGGTCTCCACATCTTGACCACACCTGTGCAAATAAACCCTTCTTGGATTGTCCCGTGAGGTGTGCCCACCTGTTGGATCCCTGGCTAATAGGCGCTGCATTTTTCTCTTAACTTTTAAACATTTGTTTTTACGTTGTATTCAGGATTTTGCATTTATGTTTATGAGATTGGCCTATAATTTTCCTTTCTTATGTTAATTGAATGGCTGTTATCAAGGCTATCCCAGCCTCAAAAAATAAGTTCAAGAGTATCCTTCCTTTTATCAGATTTCAGTGGAAGACTCTATATAAGATTATAATGTTAAGCCGGGCTCGGTGGCTCAGCCTGTAATCCCAGTACTTTGGGAGGCCGAGGTAAATGGATTGCCTGAGCCCGCGGGTTTGAGACCCACCCAGGCAACTTGGCGAGACCTCGTCTGTACAATAAATAAAAATCTAGCCAGATGTGGTAGCGTGTGCCTGTAGTTCCGGCTACTTGGAAGGCTGAGGTGGAAGGATCGCCGGAGCCCAGCTGGTCGAGGCTGTGGTGACCAGGAACGTGCCACTGCACTCCAGTCTGGGCGACAGAGTGAGACTCCAACTCAAAAAAAAAAAGGATTATAATGTTCTTTTTGTGAAAGTTTGATAAAATTGCCTGTCCTAGTGTTTTCTTTCTTTCTTCTTCCTTTGTTTTTTTTGAGTTGGAGTCTCACTCCGTTGCCCGGGGTGGAGTGCAGTGGCACGCTCACGGTCACCGCAGCCTTGACCTGCTGGGCTCCGGTGATCCTTCCACCTCAGCCTTCCAAGTAGCCGGAACTACAGACACGCGCTACCACATCCGGCTAATTTTTGACTTATTGTAGAGAAGAGGTCTTGGCAAGTTGCCCCGGCTGGTCTCGAACCCGTGGCTCAGGTAATCCACTCACCTTGGCCTCCCAAACCGCTGGGATTACAGGCTGAGCCACCATCCCAGTCCCTAGTGTTTTCTTTACAGGATGAGATTTAACTCCCAATGTAGTGCCTTTAATAGTTATGGGGCAGCCGGGCTTGGTGGCTCAGCCTGTAATCCTGCGCCTTTGGGAGGCTGAGGTGAGTGGATTGCCTGAGTCCGCAGGTTCGAGACCTGCCTGGGCAACTTGGTGAGACCTCATCTCTACAATAAATCAAAAAATCAGCTGGGTGTGGTAGCGCATGCCTGTAATTCCAGCTACTTGGAAGGCTGAGGCGGAAGATCGCCGGAGCCCAGCAGGTCGAGGCTGCGATGGCCGGGAGTGGTCACTGCACTCCAGTCTGGGCGACAGAGTGAGACTCCAACTTAAAAAAAAAAAAAAAATAGTTATGGGGCTAGTTAGAAATTTTGTTTCTTCTTGAGCCAGTTATAGGAAATTGTACTTTTATAAATGTATCTATTTTTAATATTATTGGCATAAAATTTTTCATGGTATTCTCTCATCATTCACTCTTAGATGTATAAGGAGTTATTACCTGTCAGTACTTGGAAAATATTCTACTCTCTTCTGGCTTCCATTTATACTATTGAGAAGTCTGCCTTAAATCTAATTGTTGTTCTTTCACAAATGATTTTTTCCCTCTGGTGGCTTTGATGATGTTTTTGACTTTGGGGTGCTGAAGTCTTCTGTATGCATAGATGTGGGTCCCTTTCCTCCATTTTATTCTACTTGCTGTATGCTGTGCTTCCTAGTCTTGCTTGGTTGGGTGTTTGCTGGTGCCACCCCGGGGCGACTCAGGGACCCAGGCTCCTTCTGTCTAGTGGTTCCACTGTCCCATAGGGCTTGAGGTACTCCACATGACACTGTCTACATCAGAAAGCTCAGTGCCATAAAACAAAGCTCAGTGACATAAAACAGCCGATTGTTTAGCTCACGATTCTGTGGGTTGATAATTTGGCCGGGGTTCTGCAGGTGGTTCTTCTGGCCTGGGCTGGGTTATCTCACGTATCTGGAGTCATCAGTGGGTCTTAGGCTGTTCTGCTCCTGGGGGTTGTCTGGCTGATGGCTGGAGGCAAGAGATGACTGGGCCATATGTCTCTCAGCATCCAGCAGGCAGGCCTGGGCTTATTCCTGTGGTGGAGGCAGGGCTCCAGAAGAAAAGGTGGACGTGAGCCTTCCCATTGTGTTTATCAAAGCAAGCCAGAGTCAAGGGGCAGAAAGGAGACTCCATCTCTTAGTGGGAGGAGGTGCTCAACACATTTTAAGGGTGTGAGCATAGGGAGGGAAACGTTTGCACTCATTTTTTCTAACAATCTACCATACCCTCTGTATTTGTTTGCTCAGGCTGTTATAAGAGAGTACCTCGGACAGGGTGGTTTAAACAACAGAAGCTTGTCTCACAGTACTGGAGGCTGTAAAGTCCATACTCAAAGTGCCAGCAAGGTTTTTTTTTTTTTTTTTTGAGTTGGAGTCTCACTCTGTCGCCCAGACTGGAGTGCAGTGGCATGCTCCCGGCCACCACAGCCTCAACCTGCTGGGCTTCAGCGATCCTTCTGCTTCAGCCTTCCAAGTAGCTGGAACTACAGGCACA